ATCTGTAACAATTAAAATTTTTATTTCATTTAGTTATTAACAATATTTACGTGTATTTTTAAATCACTAATATAGCTGGTAATTAAAATTTATACTTTATTATAAAATTAAAGAAGTGTTTTGCGTGAATGGTTTTTTAACCCCTCTCCCATTTAATTTGAATGTATCCTATTGGTTTCAATAGACCATTGCTAATCTAAAAAATATAAATTATCTATTGACTGCTAACTACTTTCTTTTATTCAATAATGTATCATTAAATATACAACAATAATAAAAACAAGATTTGTTTATTATTAATAATGAATAATTATATTTCCAATTTTACATGTTTTATGTATTTTTAAGAGTATTAAAATTCTTTGTTTGAAGAATGTCATATTAAGGAGGGGTAACTCTGTAAACTTAGCTTGAAAACAAATCGTAAAATCTTCATTGCACAGATAAAACTTTAGAACAATAAAAGTTACAGACTTTGGTATTATCTCCAAATGATCTTTTTTATTAAGCTTAATAATTAATCAATTTTAATGTTTTTTTTACTTATTCTTATAATACACATTTAAGTGCTCCAGATTTCAATTAAAAAATACACATAAAAAGTAGTACAATGACACTTTTTTCTTATAAAAAAGTAATACTTTAATTTATCATATGAATAATTACCATAATATAGGGCACATTTAAATAATACTATATTATTTACTTGCAAGTATTAATGATGATCATAAGTGTCACCTTTTTTTTTTACTAAATACAATGAAACATCAGTCTAAATGTGTTTATTTACTTTATAAAAAAGGAATTATATTTTTTGAATTAAATTTGACATTTATGTCAGCTATAAAATATAAAAATTATTTTTAAAATATGATTTCTTGTTAAACAGTCATTTATCTTAAATAAATAGACGAGTTAAGTATTTTGATAATGAAATTATTAATTTGAAAATTAAACGATTCGATAATACAATTTTTAAATTTATTTTAAAATAAACAGTACAGCAAAAATAATTTTATGAAAATCTCATTAATTATTTTTTAACAAATCGTATAGTTAGAAGATAACGTCTTTTTTTAATTAGTCCACATTGCACTTCATTAAACACATGACACTTTTGTTAATAAAATAATAATTTTTAAAATTAAGTTTCATTTTCATAAAGAATTCTCCTTTTGAAAATTTAAATGATGATTTCAAATAGAAAGGAATAGGGGCAACCGTGTATAATCAAAATATAAAACAAAGAGCCTACTAGTACTGTTTAATTTATTTAACTTGTAGAAAACAAAACTAAAACACATGTTCTTTTATACTTTCAATTTTGATGCTAATTAACTATTTCAAGTTAAATAGTAGTTGGAACGTTTAAAAAAAATTATAATTAATATTACAAGTAAGGTGAACTATTTTACAAGTTTTTGTATAGTTAAAAGAATATTTTTATTTATTAAAACTCGTAAAAATTAGTACATTTAAATAAAAAAAAACGGTAGCACAGTGGGGTCGCGGCATAGTGGAGACATTGCATAGTAGGGTCCAGTATAGATTTAATCTGACAGTGATTAAAATCACTATCATAAGAAACGCTTCGATGCAAATCTGTAGATAGTGTTTAATTTTAAAAAATTGATGGATAATTGCAAAAGCAACATCAACTTCTATTAAAATAAAATACAAAACCCATAATTATCATACAAAAATAGTATATTTTTCAATATGGTA